AATTGTTTGTGTATTCAGTCTCTAACAAGTTAATTAAACATGCTGGAAGTTTTTGTGCCACTAAAATCTTAATTACATTGACAAACACTTATATTTTGTTTATTTAGTGGTCAAGATATTCTCAAGTCAGCTTTTGCATAACTCGAGACTAATTCTTTTTTAATTAGTTCAATCAAAGATAAATCATCTAAACTAAAATTAAGAAATTCATAAGAAATTGTTTTCTCATTGACCTCCCAAAATAATCAAATCTTAATTAATAAAGTGAGAAATAAACTCTTTTACCAACTAAACCACTACTTCTTATATCAAATTCAAAAACCTATACTGTTGACTCAAAGTTTGAGCTATTAAGTGTCCATGATCCTTAACTTGACGAGTTGTACTATGTAATTAGCACAGGAAAAGACTTCTGGCTTAATGGGCTGTTATATATGGTAATATATATAGCTACTTACTATCAAATGGGTTAAATATATGAGAATGATGATTTGCAGTCTGAGCTACATAGAATTGCAAGATTATGAGTGAGATTCCAAAAACTACGTCTGTTAATATATCTAAGGCGGTAAGGTGGGGCGTCCGTTTCTTAAACTTAGTAGACTGGAAGTCTTCTCCCTAATTTCTTTTGCTTTTCTTTGAGACTGCAGAGACATGAAGGTATACTAGGAAGTCTACTTGCAGGTAGTTGGCTAAATAGGTAGATACTGAAATTTATTATTTTTTATAGAGAATTTGCTGTTTCCTGTCTTTGAAATTTGAATGCGATGTTTGTCTCTCTTACATTTGAACAACAAATGAGATGATATAAATCTGGGAGTATTATTTAGCTACTGCAAAAAAAAAATATTCACCAGCACATGGCTATCGCAGGCACCAAGGCTAATTGCCTGTTTCGAAAACTTAATTAAAGACAAGAAGTCTTCCTTTAATATTTCCTTGATTTTCTTTAAGCAGAGTTGAAACAAGCTCGAAAATCAACTTCCAGTTGCTAGCAGGTGTCTATAGTGAAAATAAAAGGGGAGGTTGGGGTGGGGGGGGAATGAAGGGAGTAATTCACATTAATTTTTTTTTATTATGTCATATATATATAGAATAGTGAAAATTTAAATGTTTTAATATTAAAAATATTACTACATCAAATCCTAATCATATGATAAATAAGATTTAAGGAAGATTTACATTATGTTCTACCCATTTTGTGGCTATGATTAAACATCTTGATATTTTTAATGTCAATCAAGATCTCTTGTTATTCCACAAATATATATATATATATATATGAGTGATCCATTCACACATAAGTCTTACATATCATACTTACGCAAAGTTTCGATTATTTGTCTCTCCACTTTTAATAATTGAGATTTATCATGACTTTAAAATAAAACATAATTATTTTTAATAAATGTGAATAAATCTCAACTATTAAAAGTGAAAAGATGAATAATTGAGATTTTACATAAATGTGATATATAAAACTTGTGTGTAAGTGAATCTTTCTTCATTCATTTATATATATATTATAGAAAAATAGCGTAGAAGCCCAAAAGAAAATTAAGAAAACAAGAAAACACAAGAACAATGGTAGAATGATGTCATTTCTTTAAGTCTTACCTCTTAAAAATTAAAAGGTAAAGTGAATAAGTACTATTCCATACATATATATGTATATATACATTTTATCTTTACATTAATTCTCCACAATGATGCTTTGATAGTTATCATGCATTTGTGTGTGTGTGCGCGCATGAGTATTTACATATATATATATATTATCTTAGGTTACTCAACAGGGGTTCTTTATCCATCTCACTCCATAACATATGATTCAAATTTAGGATATTTTACTTTTACTAAAAGGAGAAAGAGAATGTACTTAGATTCTTGGCATTACAATAAATGTAAAAGAGTAATGTTTTAAAGGGGTCTGGTTATGATCACTCATTAATTTGTTAAATCCACACAAACTATGTTTAATTCAATTGATATTTGTAATTTTTTTCTTGAACAAATATTTGAAAATATCAATTTATAAATTGATTTCAATTTATTGGATAATTAATATCAATTATTTTATCAATTATTAATTATTTTCATCAGTCAAATCAAACAAAATCACTATTTTTGAATAATATTGTGTGACATTAACAAATCAATAAGTACCCATAACCACAACTGTTTTAGAGGCATAATTACTTTAACTCTCCATGGGCGTGGATTTCCTTTGTTGCTGCTGTTTCTTTGCTTCTGCTTACTGTATGTGGTACAAACTATATATACGGTGCTTGCTTATTATCATTTTTGAGTTTTTCTCTAATTGGATTTGGAGGCTTGGAGCCAAGCATGCAGAGGTCTAAAATGTGGTAAGTGAAGCCAAAAGCATTCTGCTGTGCCGGTTCTTGTGGACGTTTTGTGGTTGTTAGCCGTTTTGGGTTTTCTGATCTTGTTCTATATATATGCTAGCTTGTTGTTTTCTGTTGTTGTATTCTGGGTTTATTTCGTCGTTCTATGTTTGCCGGACTTATTCATAGGTTTGGAGTACCCTTGCACTAGCACTAATAATAATTCTTATTTTACCGATCAAAAAATTATTGGGATTTGCAGTAGGTGAAGCCAGTAGCTCACATAATTGTTACAATAATCCCTTTGTAAATAGACAGAATTGTGATGCTTAAATGTGAAATTAGATTTTCAAGCAATGCGTTAGATTGAAAGCTTTTTAGAAATCTCGGACAAATTAATCTTAATTATTTTTTCATCCATGGTTGTTGTAATAGTGTTGGATAATATTATATATTTACTTTTAAATAAGGACAATAATTAAGATATCTTTC